GGAACTGGGGGAGGAGATGAAAGGAAAGTGCTAGCGCTAGCTAGCATAAAGGGGGCTAGCGCCGCACAGCTAGCTCAACGTTCTAATGGTACCGTTAGCTAATTAGCCAGCGATTATTAGTTAGACATATGGTAAGTAGCAGAGAAAGGTTACCGATAGTTAGCAGGTTTCAGGGACTCCTCCCTTTAACCTTGCGAGCGGAAAGCTAGCCTCTGTTTATGACTGGGATGCAGCGTCTGTCTGCTTGGCAAATTATCCCCCATATTTCTTTTTAACGCTATCACTTACCAGAAGGTTACCCAGCTAATACAACAAAGCCAGCTAGCCGCATTAGCAAGTGTAAGAAAGGAAGCTACACATTTCAACTTTCAGCCAAAGGATTTGAATAACTAACAGCGCTGTCGACTTTCATACCAGCCTCGACACACAGGCACTGCGCCGCAGTTAACTTTAACAGAAATTACTAGCCGTCCTATAATTACACCCAGTTTTAAAACAGCGTTCGGTACTCTAAATCAGTGTTTGCATGTATCCAAACAGCGAGCGTTTAATTTGGACGTTAGTGTGTTATTTTCTCGTCGTTTTAACCTCAGCTGCTTTCTTGTAGACACACGTTAAAGTTTGTTTTTAAAAACAGCTGACTGGAGTGAAACTATCAGCTGTTGGTGTTTGGAGAAATTAGCTGAGGGGAAAAAGTAGACATCCCATCCATGTCTGATATGCGATTTCACTGCTTACCTTTCCTATTTACCTCAGCTGTGACCTGAACTTTTTAAAGAGCATTTAAACAGATGTGCAGTATGAAGACAGCACCGTGCCAACCCGGTTGAAATTACTGTAGTTGAAATCTACTTTAATTTTTCTTTAGTAAAATACAGTTTAACATAGTTGAAGTTCTGTTAAACTGACCAGAAAGTGAAGCTTCTGGTCAGATAAAGGTTTAGAGAAAAAAAAAAAGTTTCCCTGGTTCTTTATCAGTTTCCTTATATCACATATACCCTTTCTTACTCCAATAAAAAGGTTTTAACCGAGTAAAAATCAAACCTCTGCAGGAGTCATTTGAAGTTTAAGGTGTTACAGCCGACTCGATTTTCAACTTTTAACATTGGAGAACTTAGGATAGGAAAAAAAAAAAAAAAAAATCACACCAGTGGTGACTTACGGCTTCTGACACAGCAAACAAAAGGATTGTCTGCTGCTGGAAGGAAACGTTAGATAACATCTATCAAACCACACCCAGACTTACAGCAAGGTGCTGTGCCTTTCTATGAAAAGGGACAAAAAAACAAAACACTCTACTCTCAATAACTTGCATATAATTCTTCTAGCAGGATGAACTTTAGACTAAGCGTCATTTTCGCTTCCCTTTCCCAATCAGACACCTTCTGAGGACTGCGCTTGATTGACATCTTTGTTACACTCCCGAGTTGGCTCGCACTTCTTTGGGCCGGTGAAACTAAAACATTTACAAACTCTTAAGTTGCACACCACCAGCTGGAACGATTTCAGTCTGTTTTCGGCTCAGTTTCCTCACACAAATATGCCACTTATGCCAGCCTGAAAAACTGGCTTTTTGAGCACAGCACCACATATCAGCGGCATCATAAACGGCACAATAAAAACTCAGTTCACATTGCTTTTTCTGGTTAGATCCAAGGCGAAATTGACCCCCATTTGAAAACATTTCAAAGCTATGAAAGGATGAAATACAGAAAATAAACTTTGTTTACAATCAGTTTCAACCTTGAGTAGTGCATCACGAACTAGCTTTCGATGCTTTTCCCACATCTATACTTCACAAATCTGTGAACAGGAAAGGATTGTTTAAAAAGGACCTCCATTACCTGATGTTGGCTATAACACAGTGGAAATTTAACATCGCAGGACACACCCAGTTATTTTGGTTCACGAAGCTTTGCCATTAGCTTCAACCTTCAACCTGAGCACAGGCCTAATCAGCCACAATAATTGGAGACACCTGTGTGGCTAAGCAGGTGTGCTGGAAACCCATCTCTCTGTGATGGTGACCTTGAGTGGTATTATTATGCTACACCATTTACGAATAATAGTTAGTTAGTTATATATATATTTAAATATAATTGGTGTTTACCTGCAGGCCTTTTTATTTATAGTTTCTTTATGTAATTTGATCATTTTTGAAACACACCTTTGAGCCACAAATACATGAAAAGATGTCTGCATTTGTAAGAATTGCAGTAGACCAGGTGCTGTCCCTACACCACATTAGTTATATAGGAGCACCTCATACTAAAATATATCTATCTTTAATTCACCTTAGTCAGCAAGAAACATTGAACCTTATGAGTCACACTATCATTAACCTCGCCTACCTCTAATGCAAGATAGAGGTTTAGTATTTATT